GTTCACCATTACCAGTGTGCCTGCTGCCATTTTGTCTGTTGCAGTTATGAGATTTTCCCCTACTTCATGGCCATTCCTTTGCCTCCGTCATTGTCTCAAGTACGTCCAGCCCCTCTTCTCTTCTTGTTGTTGTTTTGTATATGTGTAATTGCTTAAGTAAGTTAAAATTCTTTCTTCCTTTTGCTTCTTTGGTCACCTGCCGATCTGCTTATCTCTTTTCTATGCTCAATCCTAGTCTTTGTTTCCTTCCCTGTACAGACATAATATTCTCTTCCTCTTCCCTGTTTGTATATTGTTGGCTCATCTATGGTGAAAAGCTTTGATCTCTTCTCCTTTCGTTAGACAATTGATGTGTGTGTAAGTGGAAGAAGTAAAGCAGTGAAATTGCAAATTTTTCTCTTTATTTTTCCGCTACCATTACTGTGCTGTGTGGGAAGAAAATTCAAAATTTGGTTGAAAATTTAACTCAAAGCTTGATAATGGTATATTTATAGGTTATAATTTTTGAGTTACATTAGACTTGTTTAGATTGATTGATGTTGAAGTATTTGTGTAGATGAAATTAAAAGAGAATAGCTTGGATATAAATCTTGAATATTGGTACCTATAAGATGGTTGTTAAAAGGTTTATTAGAGGAAGTTGCAAAGGAGGTTTGACTTTGGAGTAATATGCGATTATCTAAATTTTTGAAAATTAATTTCCTAAATTGAAATTGGCATCTAATAGGAATTGGTGTTGTGAAGTATAATAATTGTGTTGGTAACTATCAAGGAAAATGATTTAAGAAGTAAGGAGTTCAATTGATTTATTTGAAAATTTATGTGAATTAGGTGTTTGTAAAAAGATTTAAAAAGGGAATTATATTCTAATAATTTAATTTGTTGGGTTAAAAATGATATGAGAAATTTGGAGATTTAAATGATGATGAAGGATAAGCTTTAACTTATTTAAGTTGATTGTGATTCTGCTATTAGAGTAAAAGAGTTTGTTTATTTGGTAGCAAATTTATTAAAATTTTATCATGTTTGATAGGGTCATTAGAAGAAGAGAAAACTTGATTGCAGCTGTAAAAAGAAAGAATTTTGGAAATAGGTGGTATATCAAGTAAGTAAATAATGTTCCCTTTAAGTTAAAGATGATGATGTTTTTTTTTTTTAGTTTGAATAGATAAATAGAACTTTTTCTTAAATTTAACTTTTATGTTTATATATATATATATATTATGGAGCCTTGGAATGTTCGCATTGAAGTGTGTACATGGTTTTATAGGATTTAAATTTATTGACATATATTTTCATTTGATTATTTTATTTTCCAAAATACATTATTCATGCATGGATTGGGCAATTTGCTAATGGAAAGATCAAGTATGCGTTATAAATTTGTGAATAATTTGAACTACAAGTATATTTTCCTTCCATGCATGTCAGAAATGTTTTATAGGATTGAATATAGAACACTGGTTGCTAATGACAGTTTCGTTAGCCCTTAGCGTGCCATGACACACCCAACTAGCAGGGTATATAGGAGATGCTAGCCCTGTGTGTTGGCCAACACACGTGGAATGAAGAATGTAATTCATGGATTTAATCCATGCCTGTTATTCATGAATTTTATGCTTGTTCCTATTTTTCGTGATTTCCAGCCATGTTGGATGTTGCTTATCCTCATGGGCTGTGTGTCCACGGCTATTATTCATTCTGTTTAGGTCCTAACAGAAAATCAATTTCCAAGTTGTTTCACTCTTAAGAATTGTATCTTTATGATTTGTTATATATGAAAGATATATTTTTAAATTGTTGATCATGATTCTCTATCTCATCCTTTCTATTTTATTACCTGATTATCACTATTTATTTACTTATTTATTATTTGGGAACGTTATTTATTGAAAAAAATTTTGATATCCAAATAGTGGGAGTGGACCTACTCTTCAGTAGATCTTGTGAGACTCCTTAAGATAAGAAATATTTTGTTGCTTCAATTACATTGTGGATTAATGTAAATATCTAAACATTCTACCTTTTTATTCTAGAACTGCTCCAGAATCATATAGCAGGACCCTTAGTTAAATTATTTTGAGTTGTATATGTGTAAACTATTTTGGAGCAAAACTCTGACTGTTGCCCATACATTCTTTTTAGTAGGTTGTAGAAATTTTGAGAGTCCAACTTACAGTAAAGATTCTACCAAAATTTCTACAGCTAGCTCAAATATTTTATATCTATTAATGATTACTTAATATAAATGATGATTGTATGACAAAATTATAATTAATATGATAGATGTATTAAGGGTTTAAGCTTATGGAATATGCATTTTATTATATTCCAGCCAATCACACTTTAAAAGTTTGGGATGTGACATGAAGCCAACTTAGGATTTCATGCATGTTATGAATTCATGCATGAGAATTTCATGCGTATCTCAGCCTAATTGATGTACTTGTGGTTAAATGATCATGAAAGGCCGAGATACTAATACAAGTGATATTGTAGTAATATGATATGTAAGAAAATGACTATAGCATGCTATTGAGATTTAAAATGTTCCCTTTGAATTCTTTGTAGAATGGGGGATTTGATGATCATTTTATGGTTGGGCTATTATTGATGTGTTGTGTTAGCCTATTAGGTTGTGTGTGGTTCATTTGAGTTGGTCTAAGTAGTTTTAGAGCTATTGGCACTAGGTTGTGTATTTTGGACACTTGTGAGTATGGTATGTGGTGAAAATAGACTATTTTGGGTTCGGTTGTCTAACTTTTTAATGGTTGAGAATTTGAGTGTGAGACCATTGCTAATAGCTAGAGGGTTCAAAGAGTTACATGTAGACACTTAAATCGTTCAAATTGGACGTCGGATGAAGAAATGACATGCTTCGCAAGTTGGTCTAGGGTGTTGTCATGACAGCAGATGCGCGTCGCAGCATATGGGCAAATTCCTAGAATTTTCCAAATTACTCCACTTATGCTTTTGAATGTTGATCCATGTTTTCATGCTTCTGTTACCTTGTTTAGTTTGTTTTAAACTATAGTCTGACCTTAAATGACTTTTGAAAAAGGATTTTTTTGATGTCTCAATATTTACAACTATTTACTCTTAAACCCTTAAGTTGTGATAACTTTTCTTTAAAAATTTGATTAATCTTGGTTATCACAAAGGTGTGAGTATTGTTCCGGTAATATTAAGACAGACATTACAACTCGAGCATTAGAAACAAAGGGAGAAGAAAAGAGAAATAAGAGAGGCAATAAAGAAGAAGCTAGGGGCTGCCAGGGCTTTGACATTTGGCTATCTTGGAGGCCATTTTCTAAACTCTCCTCCCTCTTCCTTGTGCAAAATTTTAGTGAGTTTGGATATTTATGGGTGTTGATTTTGTCCTTTCTTGAGATATAACTGAACCCATTGGCTTAGATGAAGCTTTGGGGAGTTAAATTATATTTCTAAATTTATGTTTAAAGATTTTATAGTGATTTAAAGTTTTGAGCTAGGGTTTGGATGAATCCTAAATGAAAATTTGAGTTTTGAAAATAATATGAGTTATGACTTGATGTTATCTAAGTCTATCAATGTTAGATAAGGAAAATGTTAAATGTTAGGAATGTGGAAATTGTTGAAGAAGAAATTTGGATATTGCGGCTTCCCAAATTTAGACAAAAGGGGGTTTAATTAGAGTTTTTAATTGATGATTAGTATTTAATCTTGTAGATTAAATATTAATTGAGCCTTGTTGGACTAGCAAAATTTAAAAGAGTGATTAGATTGCCAAGGTAACTTTTTTTGTGACAACTATCCCTCTGTCTTCTACCTTCATTTGAGGAATATCACACATTAGGCTCCCTTTTTAAAAAACTAATGGATGTTTGTTTAAATTTAACAATGAAGGTAAAATTACCTTAACTTTAATTACTTAGGGTTTAGAATATACCTTTTTAAATTACCTCTAAATCTATAATTCAGGTTCAAATTGTATATTAACCCATAAATATATTAGCTAAATATAATAAAATTAATTTTATGATTTTATCAAGGATTAAGGTGCAATTTTGCTTTTAAACTATTTTTAGAAGAACAATGTTGTTCAAAAACTACTCATCATAACAATATTGCCTCTAACCTAATTAAATCATAGCAATGTTATCCCCATAATTTAAGCACCCATTAAATGTAGCTAGTGGTGCCTGTTTTTTAAGGGCTAAAATGTAATTTTGCCTTTAAATTATTCTCAAAGAAGCAATGCTCCCTAAAATAATTAAATCAGATTAATATTGCCTCCGTCGTTTAAAAATCATAAACGTCCATTAATGAGAAAAAATAATGAAAAGTACTAATGCCATTTCATTGATATCCTTTCTAACATCCAATATTCAAGTATTTATTAGTGTCATGATAGTCTCCACCAACACTCTAACGAGCAATGAATTATAAATTGAAAAGATGCTCAATTTTTATATTAAGTTTTTTCAGTGACAAATATGACAATAGTTGAAGTATAAATTTACACTAACAACACTATAAGGAGAGCTCTTGATCCAACAAAAAATATATAAATAATATTTTTAAGGTAAAAATGTTGCTTTTTATCGTCTTGAGTGGATCAACTTATAAAATTGACTATCATAAATAAAGATATTCTCTTATATGCATTATAAATAAAAAAATTCTATACAAAGACCATCATAAAATGGTTATCCAAAAAATTAATTCAGTAACTGAAATGCTATAATTTAATTAAAGTCCTGACTTGATTCAATATTAATTAGAGAAAGATAATTAAATGTGAGTTTCATTAGTTACAATCAACGAATGTTCATAATTTTTAAATTATGAGGGCAAGATTGCTTTTATAAAAATAGTTTAAGGACAAAACTATATTTTAATTTATGAAAAATAAGTCCCATCAATTATAATTAATGAATGTTTACACAACTGGGAGTATTAGTTTAAGAATAATACCATTGTAATGAGCAGTTTAGGATAACATTAATCATTGAGAATGGTTTGCACTGAAACCCTTTTATCAATGTCAACATTGGCCTCGTGAAAACCCTTGGGAAAGAACTCTTCTGCCTTCTATAAACCTTCTTTTCGTTTGGCTTGAGTCTCCTCACTTGTCGCCGTCGCCTCCATCTCCTTCAGGTAACGCCTCCGATCCTTCTGCTTCTTCCGGCTCATCTTACTCTATTTCTTTCTCAAACGATGATGGGACACACTGAACCTAATGAAAATGGTTGTTCTACCATACTCTTCGTTGTTTTCTTTTTCTTCTTTTACCATTTCGGTTTTCAAATTACTGGGAATGGGAATTTCAATGGGAATACTGCAAATGGTTGTTCAGTCATACTTTCAGCTTTTTCCTCTTTTACATTACCATTCTGGTTTTCAAATTATTGGAAACGGGAATTTCGGTGGGATAACTGGACCATTAAGCTCAGTACAGTTTTGCTGAAATTTTAAATGATGAGATTGAGGTGTCATTTGATGAATTTGGTATCTTGAAGTTCGATCATTTGGATTTAGAGGTTAGTGATTCTTTAGGAGTGGTTCTTCAATTAGCGTGGTTTGATACTTTTTAATTATTGAATGTGCCATGCAGTCAAAAGGAAAAAAACAAGAAGAAGAGTAAAATGGGATTTTTTTTTTCCCTACTGAAATCATATTCGTGGATGTTTCAGAGATCGGAAATGTATTAATTTTTTTGAAATGATAAGGGGTTTCACGTACTGGATATTGTGTTTGGAATCTGTGTGGTTTGACATGGTTTTCTCTATCTGAAACGTACTAATTATATTCGATTATTCCCGGGATTGTTTGAAATATAACTCTAGCTGTATCTTTCTTCTTGCAGAAACAAGCAAGCTTTTCATCTCCAAGGCTTCAACAAAGTGTTGTATGTCTATTTTTCTCCGTTTACCTTCTTCCATGTACTCTCTATCTAGCTTCCATCCTGTGTGATGTTATATGCAACGTGGCCTTTGATAACATATATTAATATTATTATTGTTATTATCATCTTTTGCTTGCATATTCTCTGCCAGGTTTCTTTTTTCAATTTTTATCTCCAAATTTGATGAGATAAATACTGGATTATGTCTGTTTAATAGAATTTATTAAAAGTTGCTCACCCTGTAACTTTAAAAAGAGAGTGCAATTTTGCCCCATTGTTAAAATCCGGAAACGTTGATCATTAAACATGAACTTTGGCCAAGGGTATTTTTGACTTTCTCCCTCCTCCTCTTCCTCCTTCCTTCTTCTTCTGCCTTTCTGCAGACTAGGCCTCTGTCTCCTTCTTCCCCTCCACTTCAAATTTTTCATTGGATTAAGGAAATACAAGATGGTGTGGGATTAAGGAAATGAAGATGGAGTTATGGGTGCAGCACATGATAGTGCACACGAGAATGATGGAGGAGGTGTATGGGGCGAGGGCAACAATAAACATGTGGGACCCATCGATCCAGGTGGTGAACGAGGTCAGCCTCTACCAAGTCTTGATTCTTTCTGGATCCTATGATGGCACCGATCTCAATAGCATTGAAGCTAGATGCATAATAGGTTTTTTCTTTTCCTTCATCCTTTTTCACTTCCCAAGATCCTTCGGCTTCATTTTATCTGTGTGCTTGAGTTTGAGTCTAGGTCCGTTGTACATGTGCTTGAGTCTGGGTCTGGAGGTCTGTGCAAGGCTGGGTGGGTTGCTCCTTCAAGTAGATAAATCCTCCTCATTTGGCTGTGTGATTCTTGGTAAGTATTTGTTGTTTCCTTGTATAATCAGTTTTTGTTATCAAGATCATTCTCTTCTTTTCAAAAAGGATAAAATAAAAAAGTTGAGGTTGATTATTGCTGGAATTCTCTTTGCATTTTGTTTGTTTTTGTGATTTTTGAAGTTTGAATGGCATTTCAGTAGTGTTGGACTTTTGTTTAGGGGGATTTTGGTTTTGGATGATGAATGTAAGCTTGGTCGTGTGCATATTAGCTTGAGAGATAAAACATTTTTTGATTAGATGCAATTTGAGTGCTTGAAGGGCAATGAGACTGATAATGCAGAAGGAAGAAGGAGGGTCAAAATAATAAAATACCTTGGTCAAACTTCATGTTAACGGCAAATGTTTTCTATATTTAATAGTGGGATGATATTGCACCATTTTGGAAAGTGCCTAGAGTCACCCTAGACAAAATTGCTCCTAAGAAAAGTTTAGGATACCAATGTACCCTTCGCAAAAAGGTTTCATGGTATTTTTCCCTTTGACCCTTTCATTAATGAATAATGATTATGCCATCAATTATTTTTGTAGAAAATAATTTAGTGATCATAAAAATAATCATTTTATAATCATGATTATGCTAATGAAATCGATGATTAGCTAACGATGGCTTGGGTTGGGATTGGGAATTTGGTTTTAATAAAGACAAGTTGTGAAAATTGGCTTGAATCAAACCAAGTTGCGTGCAAAAGTTCTACCCACTAACTTGGTTGCTATCAAACCAATTTGTGGTTTTGTAGCATCTTGGGAAATATTTTTTTCTTTTATAGTATCTTGGTAATTATTTTTTTTTCCATGTATTAAGTTGGTATTTTTTCTAACAAAAAACTGGAGTTGGGCCTCTTTGGGGGGAGAAGATAAAGTAAATATTTACTTTTATATACTTACTATATTTTTTTAATTACGGATAAATTGGCTTGCTTGTTGTAAAAAATCTTGTGTCTAGAAAATATGGATCAAAATTTTGAAAGTTTGGAAGTGTAGCTGGTTCACATTAACATACAAGAGGCTTATTATTAATATACGAGGGGTTTATCATTGAAGATTTGAAAATTTACCGGTGGTTTATCATTGAAGATTTGAAAATTTATCAGGAGTTTATCATTGATATACAACAATGTATGATTGACAAATAAAATAAATTGGTTATGATGTAAAATATAATAAACGATGGGTTGTTTACTTGGTTTGGTCTTGTAACATAGGCCATATCTGCAAAAAGCCCTTTAATTAATTCAAGATTCAAGATGCATATTTTAAATTTAAAAATAATTTGACAATATCAATATCATAATTAGTTGTGACCTTTTTAAAAGTTAATTTAAATTGAACTTATATAATTATTCCCTCTGTTAAAAGATGCCGAATTTCATTCTCCAATAAAGTAGTTACTTGTTTTTAAACTAAGATTGTATTTCCATATATATATATATATGTATATATATTCTCATTTAATAGGGTGTTTTATTGTAAAATAAATATAAAGTGATTTATTCATTAGGGGCACTCTTAAAAAAAGGTAATGATTATATTTTGAAATAGTAAAAATGTGTTACATTTTTTAACGGCTAACCTTTCAAAAAATCTCTTGCAGTTTTGCACGGAGGAGTATATAACTTTTTTTTTCATCATATTGAAACAAATGCCCAAAAATGCTATATGCTATCATAGTTCACTTGAGGGGTTGATCCCTCATTATCCACCAAACCTACAAGTGGGATTGGTGGATGATCAAAGATACACAAGGATTCATCAAAACTAAAAGTATAACTAGCAAAATAATCAGCAGAAACATTATCTTCACGATACAAATGCTAAACATTGACTGTCCAATCTCTATGGAAGAGAAACTATGCATCAGTGATGATATATTTGAACGGGTGATTTTCCCTATAACTTCAACTACAACAACAAGCCTTTATCCCACTAGGTGGGGTCGGCTACATGAATTGCAAGACGCCATTGTGCTCTGTCATTTACCAAGCTTTTAGAAATATTATTAATTAAGAGATCGCATTCAACAACTTCCAAAAGTGTTCTCTTAGGCCTTTCTCTACCCCTCTTAATAGGGCTCAAAGTTTTATATTCCACTTTTCTCGTTGGTGCCTCTCGCAGTCTTCTTTGTATATGCTCAAACCATCTCAAATGATTTTCTACCATTTTTTTTTTCAATAGGTACTACTCTTACTTTTTCTTGTACGTATTTATTTCAAATTTTTTCTTTACGTGTATGTCCGCACATCCATCGTAACATTCTTATTTCTGTTACTCTTAACTTTATGCTTTTGTTGTCCTGTTAGAGCCTAACATTCACTACTATATAACATAGCTGGTCTGATAGTAGTTCGATAAAATTTTCCTTTAAATTATTAGGCACCTTACGATCGCAAATAACTCCTTTAACTTTTCTCCAATTTAACCACCCAACTTGAATCTTATGTGAAATATTCCCATTGATTTCGCCTTCATTTTGAATAATGGCTCCCAAGTATTTAAACTTTTTCAGTTGAAGTATAATTTGATTTCCTAATTTCACTTTCAAATTACTGTCGACTAGTCTCATACCAAATTTACAATATAAATATTCCATCTTACTCTACTCAGACGGAAACCTTTTGACTCCAATGTCCTTCTCTATAACTCAAATTTAAAATTAATCTTTTTTCTTGTCTCTGCTATAAGAACTATATTATTCGTGAAGAGCATACATTTGAGAATTTTCTCTTGAATATATTCCGTTAAAACATTTAGGACCAAGTTAAACAGATAAGGACTTGAAGGTGATTCCTGATGTGGTTCAATCTTTATAGGGAAGTCTTTTGTTTGACCATTAGACGTTCTTATATTAGTTTTTACCCTCTCATACATATCTTGTATAACTTTAATATGAGCAATCCGTACTTCCTTCTTTTTCAAGGCTTTCCAAAGCATTGCTCTTGGTATACGGTCATAAGCTTTTTCCTTATAACCTCAAGTCAGCATATTCACGACTTCCACACGATTAGAAAGTAAATTTAGGTGACTAGGGTTTGGCTTATGTAGACACTCAAATGCCTTCAAATTAAGGAGTGTGGCCTATCAGCTAGACATTTTTTTTTTTGAATGGAATTAGTTAGACAATCATTTGGTTGGTAACTAAGTCATGTAATTGAATGTCTTTGATTGTAGTTAGGAACTGGAATGAATTGGCCTATTAGCTAGACATTCAAAGACATTCAATTCTATGAATACAATCATTCAATTCTATGACTAAATTGTATTCAAAGACATTCAATTCCATGACATTCAATTCTATGAATACAATCATTCAATTCTATGACTAAATTGTATTCAAAGACATTCAATTCCATGACATAGCTACCATGTCTAGCTAATAGGCCAATTCATTCCAGTTTCTAACTACAATCAAAGACATTCAATTACATGACTTAGTTACCAACCAAATGATTGTCTAACTAATTCCATTCAAAAAAATGATTGTCTAGCTGATAGGCCACACTCCTTAATTTGAAGGCATTTGAGTGTTTGGTATAAAAGTAAAAGCATCCCCTACTACCTTTTTCTCGTCTGAAATTAAATAACCAACGTGAGCCAAACCCCAGTCGCCTAAATTGCATGACAATAAGGCAGATAAAAGTATGCTGTTACATAAGTAATAGGTAATAAATATTAACAAAATATGGCTGTATCATATTAAACTGTCTTTTTCTTGACTATTATATTTTCAAATTAAAGAGATCATCCAGCATTTGTTGTTTGCATAAACTGCAATTTAAGCAAAAGCATAATATTTCAGCTTTTGTTACCATAATTTTACATTGCATTAGCTATTACTTGTTGCATTCATAGATGGCTCGACTGCTTTGACACTTTACATTAAAAAATGACTAGAACTTCTGAATTCTGATGGTGCTTTTCGTTTTGTGTGATGATTTGCCAGCTCGGCCTTCTTCTTTTCTGGTAGAACCGCCAAAAAATAAGCAGCCTATCAAGTCTCCAAATATTTGTGCTCCTTCAAGTACAAATAATGTAAGTTTGAGTTCTTTGAGTGATCTGATTTGGTTTGTTTGTATTGTTGTTGTTGATCTTCAGCTGATAGTAAATGTTTGAGGAGGTATTGTTTGATCTAATGTTCCTTGTCAAACTTTTGGTTAATCAACTTTAGTTAATTTTCCACCTTCATTGACAAAGAGGATCACGTGTAATTGGTTTTCTGGGAATAGATGTGTCTGACTTAATTTTTATTCTCAGGGAAGCTGTTAAATTAGACCTTCGTTGTCCTCAAAGAGCCGAGGGCATTGCTGCTGAACCTGAGCCAGATTGGACTTTTAATGCTCTAGTAGCAGAGCTTAATGCCTTGGAGATGAAGCTCACTGCTTCTTGTACTGATCCTTTTCCCACAAAATCAATATACAGGTACTATATTCTTAACTTCTCTTGTACGTGTTTGTTTTATTGATGCTTATGAATGTGGGAATGTATTATCTTTCTGTATTCGGTTAATTGAATCTTATTTATTTGTGCCAAAGAAAATATTTATGTTAGTGGTCCCTAAACTTTTCTATTGTACCTTTGTGAGAGACTTCATAGTGGGAATGAAATTGAGAGAGGTAGACCTTTCATGTTGCATGCGCCTGAGTATGAGATGGAGGACACGGAGACTGAAGATGAGCAGGACGAAACTATAGAGGCTGGCAAACGATTTGGCTGTAATGAAATCTATCTGAGGTGCCTACTCCTTGATTTCTGGCTTTGTTTGAGGACGTCACTTATCTTCTTTGCTGTAGGAACCATAGACCAACAATAATAAGCAATTTCTGAATCTAGTCAGATTAATATTTAATATTATTTTCATATTTTTTGTTGATCAAATTGAAAATCTTTTATTGGAATTTTTTACAATGACATTTGCACTTTATTTGATTTGATGTTTCAGTGACAGCGATAGTTCTGACATTGTCCCAGCATTTGAAGTGCAAGGTTATTTGATGGATAGAGCAGGAGAGGTTGAAGGTGCCTTATTAGAACTGACTCATGAACACCAGCTTCGGGTTAAGGTGGGTGATCATGATGGTATCCATAAATGTTATCTGTTTGGCTTGTTAGTTACAGACTAAAAAGTTAATACTCTTGAAGACCATAAATTATGTAGTCAATTTGGTTTCTTTCATATATGCATTAGACTTATTTCTGGCCTTCTGTACTTACAGGATGACATTAGGAATCAGATCTCAGCCCTGGAAACAGCTCTGATGAATGAAAGCGAGAAGTCTGCTTCTGTTCTTCTTCAAATAGAGAAATATAAAGAAGTAAGACAGGAATTAGATAAAAAGTTTGATACTCAATATCAGCGAAGGATGTAAGATTCTCCCTCTCATCTTCTTTCAAGGGTTGATCATCTTTTCCCTTCTTCTACCTGTCTTTTTTTTTTTTTTTAATATCAAGGGGAAGTACATCAGACGCTAATTAGCCTGAATGTTACAAGGTCTAGAGATAGTGAATCCCAATTGGTCCTCAAACAAAATCCATTAGGTGCCCTGTCTAAGTGGTGGCACTCAATTGTAGAGTAAGAGCATAGTTGGCTAGAAAATTAGCGTCTCTATTTCCTTCACAATAATTATGAACTTTTTAACTTCTCAATCCCAAGTTAGGACCATACGAATATCATGCACCAGATGATGGTACCCATTGACTGACCTGGGTTGATGCTTTAGAAGCTCAATGAAACACTTCCTTTCTACCTGTCTTTTGTCACAGTTTAATATAAGCAAATGTGAAATTGATTTTTCTCTTTGCTCTTAGTAATTCGTCCCTTCGTATGGGGTGGTAGTGGTGTTCAATCCCATAGGGCTGGTTTATCCCCCCTTCAAATTTGGAAAAGGGTTAAAGGTCATTTTTGCTTTTGAGCTATTCGCTCAAGGACATTTGGTATCCTAAACTCAGCAATGATAGTGAAGATAGATGTTTCTAAGCTTAATCGAATGAGGAATTGCAAGAAAAAAATATATCACAAAGGAAGAAACAATATTCCAGAAACCCACTGAGTTGCCATGGAAAATGAACAAGCAGCCTCAAAACCCCTTCCTAAAACAATACCACAAAGAAGATGAAGAAGCAATGCCAAAGATGCAATATAAAAGCTACCTGCTTTTGTGGTTAATAAGTTGTGAAAATAACTCCACAGGAAAGGATGGACAAAAGGTATAATTAAAATTCTTCCTTGTGCAACAAATTTTTATGCCCTTTTATCTTAGTTGTACAAGATTACCCATTCTAGAAACAATACCGCTTGAGCACAAATGAAGCTACCTCTTGTATTTGTGGTTTTCTCTCGTCATTAGTGTTGAAGAAGGAAGCTCCAATGCAAATGATCGATTTGGGTGTTTCATTTGATTCTTGGAGATGTCATTTTGGCTGAAGATGATGATTGAGGGCGATGCCGATAGGGAGGGCCAAGAGGAAAGAGGAAGGGGGAAGAGAGAGAGAGAAGAGAAGAAGATTTGGATGGAGGACTTGTGAATTGGAGAAGAAGAAGCTACCAGAGAGAGAGAGAGATGTTTTTGATTAGTGGATGCCATTTGTATGCCACATAGATAATATGTGGGCCACATATCTCTTAGATAATGAATGTTACCTCTCTTAATGGCAAGGGGTGAATTGCTGCATTTTTTTTTTAAATTTAAGGGGAAGATTGTACCAAAATGGAGTATAGGACACTCGGTGCTTCCAAGGGTATAGTTTGAGGGCAAAAATGACTTTTAACCCTTTAAAAAAAGGAAAATTGATTTGTTATGAACAAATTGAGCTGTTTTGATATCATGTTCAACTTCTCATGGCTATGAAGCATCGAACTTCAAAAAAGTAAACATATATGTATCTGATATAATACCTGTATGATACTTTAGCTTACGTATATCATATTCTAACATTTGTAATATGAATATTTTTTCAATAATTTTTTACTATATCACTTGAAAACTTGAAAGAACACTTAATATTTTGGTTAATTATTATAAATATCCTTATATTTCTTTAGAAATTCTTGTTTAAAAATCAAAATACCTATACCTATGTTATAAAATGTTGAAATATATTATTATAAATATCTTCGTACCCATATCCTAAAATTTTGAAAATTTTCTGTATTGCCGTATTATGTCATATTGTATTGGATACTTATACCCATATCTATGCAACCTAGTCTCATGGTACCCTAGGTCCTAAACTATGGATTATTCATCTGATGCAGACTTTTAATGTATAATGCTTCTGGGGAGATCTGTAAAAATTCTTTTTCTTTCTGGGTTGAGGGAGAAACATGATTTGCCTTTTTGATGGTGATGGATCCACACCTGGGGCCATGACCTGTTAGGGTATATCATTGAAAGAACAAGAAGAATACAAAAAGTTGGGAATGGTGAGAGAAAGCCCATGGTGAGGTGTCCCTCGCTACCCAACTGTGACATGCTAAATGGAAAGGTATGAGATGGAAAGAGGGGTATATGGGGAGGTAGGCTGATGGGTTAAGGAGGAAAAGCTTATTCTTGACTTGGGAGGGACTCTAGCTTCCAAAAGCTAGGGAATTTTTTTTTTTCCTTCTTCATATTTTTCCTCTTACTGGTTTACTGCTGCTGTAATTCCATTCAACTCTACTCAATCTATGCTTGTATGAGTAGTTTGATTGGACAATAACTGGTTCAGTTATAAGAATTCAGAGGAGTTTTATCAGATTGTCATTAAAATAAATTGGAAAAAAATTATGTGGTTAATTTGTTTTCTAGGGGGAAAAGATTGACTAAGGACATGCCAAAATTAATTGGCTAAGTGAGTATGAAGAATTTAAAAGACATGAGCTGCTCATTTTCAAATGTTGGATCTCTTCCAGGATTGAAGCCATTGAATCCACAACACCCCCCCAAAAAAAAAAAAAATTGATGTCTTCTGAGATTCCCATCAGTTTGAAGTTGGGAAGTATGGTTTTATGTAATGATCCATTTTATGTTAGAATCAATTGTAAATTTGACTTTATTATGAATTTGTTGATATTTCTTATTTTTGATAGCTAAAATTGAACATGCATGAGGATTTATCTACCATTCCTCTACCCTCAAAATTGTTATTCTATGTTTTCTTTTGCTTGGGTGTTTCTTTATAGGGTGAATCGTAAGTTCGAAGAATTGAGAAACTGATCTTCATATCCCCTGTTCTGTACAGTGCAGAAAAACTTGATAATCACTTGACAGCCGTTCAGCAGGACCGGGAGCTTCGATCACAAATAGAGGAAAGAAAAATAAGAAGTGATGCAGCATATGAAGAGACCAAAAGAAAGGAGAAGGCTATACAAGAGGAAAAATTAAGACAAGAAAAGGCTAAAGCTGAAGCTGAGGCATATCAACTTAACCTTTTACTTGGCGGTGTTTTGACTAAGAAGTTTTCTATGCATTCTTTCTTCTCATTCCATTTCATGTTAATGCTGATAATGTTGATCTGCTATGTATTTACCTTTTACAAATCTATACTTTTTCCATGAACTTTTTAGTATTTTTCTTTTAGTTTGTGGTTTGTTTGTTTTGGAGTCCAAACACTCACTCAGACTATGTCCAGGATTATATCCATCATGTTACCTGCTGCTTCTTGTTAGTAATATCCACACTGATTTGCCGGTTAAATGGGCATTTAAATTTGACACATTTTCTTTCTGTATTCTTTTATTTAACCTTATTCGTTTGCCTATTAAATGGGTATTTAACTTTGACACATTTTTCTTCCCAGAGTATTCTTTTTTATCAGCTTCTATGTGAATGTTGCTAGAGTTTTTAACTTTCAAATTTTGGATTGTAGGCTGCATTTAGAGCTGAGGAAGCAAAACGAGCTGCATTGGAAGCTGAGAGAAGAGCGGCAATGGAAGCTGAAAAAAGAGCTGCAAAGGAAGCCATAGAGAAGAATGCTATGGAAAGTTCAAAAAGGATTACGTCTGAAGGCTTGCAACTAGAAGCTACAGCGCAAACAGATGGTGCATCTAGCCTTTCAAAAGCTGAATCCAAGGAACCTGGTATTTGTTTTTTTTTTAATAAATAATATAACCATTTAACTTTCTGATTCAAATTTAATGTGCATGAATTTTTTGCCTTTATATTCTTTCCATATGCTTGGGAACATGTGATTATTTTGACATTACTTTGTTATTGAATTTCAGTTTATTCTTCCTTGGCCCTTTGATATTGATTTGATGAAGCTATTTGCATAAGCCACAAAAAATGGTTTTATTCAACTTTCATTCTCATCTGCATTCAGCGTACCAAGCTGCAAAAGCATCCTCTCATCCACGTTATTCTTTATTTTTACTGACCTTTTTATGTTTGATTCCTTTGCTTTTTGATGCTGAATTACTTTGTTAATTTGAAGTTGTAAAAGTATTTGATGCATTTGGTGTAAGTCAATATATGGACGTGCCTTTGAATGACTGGGTCTATGTATTGGCATTTAGTCTGAAATTGTTGGCGTCATTTGAGATTTCAACTGGAACAAATTGTTAGGGTACACCTATCGAGCAGCAGATAGTGCTTTAAAACTAGAAGCTCTCAGGCTACAGAAACTGAGAGAGCTATATGAGAGAAACCAAGCAATACGTTCAGGTCCCAACAAGGTATTACTAGAAGTAGATACTGGAGATGTTGATAAAATTTTAGTTTCTTATGCTTCATACACCAATTATTGCTAATCCTTTACTGCTTTTGTTTAACATGTTTGTGATATTTATTTTTCTAATTGGATATTGTTCTTCTAGATCATAGAGTGCGTGCATTCCATGGTTTATTTGCACCCTCATGTTGGAAGTGTGATGAAATATAAGAATTAACATATTTTGAAGAATTAACCTATCTAGGAACAAGTAAGTTACTTTTGTGTTATTTTAATACTTTTGTAAAGAGGGAAATCTGAACATTAGCTTTATCTAGCCAAGTTATGAAGGTTTCCTTAATAGGTAGGAAAGTTTAGTATAAATATATTAGGCTTTGCTCTTATAATGGACACATTTTGATGAATGTAATATTTGATTGGGATTTCTGATAGCTCTTCTCTCCCTCTGCGTTTCTGCCTCTCCCTCTCTTGCTCCCCCTACTGTTCTGTTCTTCATTCTCATTTCTCCCTCTCTCTGTTTCTATTTCTCCCTACTCTCTCGCTTTGTTCAGATCTGTGCAAGTGTGTGTGTGTGTGTTACATCAAAGTGTGGATGTTCTGTTCTGTAATACTACTTTTCATGGTTGACATAATGATTTGGTTAATTATGATAATTGATAACTTATGGTATGCCAACTTTTGTCAGGATTTTAGCCATAAGGAAAGTCATATTGCCAGATTGATCAGGCAAATAAGGGGAGTAACAGATAATGTCAGGTAGGGAACGTTTATTTCAGCTATGCATTTTTAAATTATTCTTCCCCAGGGCAAAATTTTGTTACTGGTTCAATCAAGGGAAACAATTGCCACTGGTGTTTTATCGTTCTGTGAATTTGCTTTTTGAATTTATTCTAAAGTTGATGCCTTGAGAGAAATTTTAGAGGCTTCTGTTTGCTTGCTCAATTTAAATTGCAATTTAAAGTTCCTCTCTATCTGATATTATAGCTTCCAATTTGAGAGTATATTTTGAAGAAACTAAGTTGTGTGTCTATAAAAAGAAGAATATCAAGTTTTATTTCTTAAGATTTTGTGTGTGCTGAGGAGTGTTTGGAGAGATTACTTTGCTGCGTGACATGAAATGACTTGCATATAAAGGAAGTTGTAGACTTTCTCTTTTGATTAGAATGACTGTTTTATTGCAAGCATAAGTTTAAGGAAATTTCCAACCCATCATTACGTCATGATAATATATGCATAAAAATATTTGTGATTGAGGATTTTATTTTAAAACTAAGGCAGGCCAAGTCCCTGTGCATGTTTTCATACTACGTCATTGTACTTCTTTTGCACATTTTGCAGGTCAAAAGCGAGTGATCTTATAAAACTTTTGAATGATCCTCAATGTCCTCAATCCATCAGCGCTGAAATATTTGCTCGAAAGGTAGCTTCGCAATATTTTATTGACCATTTTCTTGCTATGGACTCTATCTGCTTTAAATGACTTGAACAAAGAGCACAAGAAAGATTATATATCACTTTGAAAACTGGGTGAATGAGCCGATTTTGGATGCTATTGTGAGTTACCTAGTATGGTATGGATGGCATCAATAATAGGACAAAGTATTAAAAGCATATTCAATTAAAGGAAAGAAAAAGTATACAAAACAAATAATTTACAGCCCTAATTCATTTGCATCCAATGTAGATTTCTTACTATTTAATACTATTAATGAACAATTGACATTTCTGTGATATCTTGTTTGGTCTTGATCAAATAAGAATGCAGATTTAAAAAGAATGATTTTGTCATAAACTACTAATAAACATTTGAAGAAGTAGGAAATGTGTTACTTTAATATTTTGAAAAACAAGTTTGTAGTGATTAATGGTATATTTACATATTTAATGCGGACATAGTAGGATTTAGTTTGTTTTTTTTCTGTGATTGCAGCTAATGAATGGGATTACTTGTAAACATCCCTATTATTTTAACTTCTTTATTTTGTAATTTAACATAATATCTTATCCTCATGTGACATAATAATGTATCTCTTGTGTGATATACTTTACAGGTCGTTTCCTACTGTGAAAACCCTGGTAATGCTGCCTTTGCAAGTGGTTACGTCATTGTTCTTGTTACCTCTCAGGTACAGCATTTTACTTCCTAGCCATTCAGATTAATGATGGATAAGATGGTATAGCCTTTGAATTCGATACTTTTTGGCAAATGACTGCTAATCTTTCAGTCACTTCCAAGCAACTAGGCACTATGGATTGTCTTCCTTTATTTTTGGGTTTCATTGATTGTCGTTTGTGAGGCAGGTCCCACATGTTATGGATTTTTTGCTAGCTGAGTTCCATAGAGCCTGCATCTACACTGTTCCAAAGCACATAGTTTATAAAAAGGTAACTTGTCAGAAATATTTATGAGACATTTATCCTTGTGTTTCTTCTTTTCCAGCCTTGATATTAAGATTGCTGTGAAATAAAAAGGACTATGATCTACTTATATTGACGAGTTGGTAAAAAGTGAGTTTTGTGTTTCATGATTGTCATAGCTCTTAAGTTCAATATGTTTCCACCAGAAAATCTGAGCTTACTATTTCTTTTTTTTTTCTTCGTACTAATTCTATCTGAGTGAGCTTACTAATTCTTTTTTTACTAAGAGGTTTAAGCGCCCGTTTATTATATGATATGAAAGAAGTGAAATAGTAGTCTTTTAACTGTAGCAGTGTAAGCAAATTTTCTGTTATAGTCATTCTATTTTCTATCAAGAATGACCAATAGTCAGAACATTCAAATTTATGCTTTGTTTGTTATAAAATACAAGGCCGTGCAGTTTCTTCATGTTCTTAAATTTTCAGCTTAAATAGTGTGTTTTTGGCAGTGGGATGATGGTAATGCATTACGATGAGATGCTCATGCATGTGTTCTTCGTTTATCTTTTTGAATGCATGGAGAACATTTGTTACTAATTCAGATTCTGATCTTTTCGTCTCACTGTTTCAGTCCACCTTTGAATCAAGAGAGGCATACTTCAAAAGTGTTGGTTACAAGGAATATGATGGGAAGATTGAGAGTACAGAAGATTATTTAAAGCGCTTAGAATCTTACATCAAGTTGTACGGTGCACTAGTTCAGGTTCGACGCAATAGTCTTTCCAATTCTGACAAGCTTTCAAGTATAATTTAGATTTGGATTAGAGGATTTTCAGTGTTGCCAACCATCTATTAGCTACCATCGCTCATCTTTTCCGTCTGATCAGCTCCCAATGCTTTGTTTTAACTTCAAACAGACCCAAATTCCAAATGTTCCGAACTCACATGGGTTGGAAGAAGGTTGGGCATGGCTTGCTAGGTTTCTGAATAATCTCCCAGCCAATAAATACACTGCTGTTTCGCTCAATGCATTCCTGCAAGTAAGTAATGCAAAATACATATTCTTATAGTTCGGCAGGCAGAAAAGTATTTTCCAGAACGGAAATGGGAAATGCACTTGTCCCATTTTTCTAGATACATTTTTCTTTTCCTTTCTAGAGAACACTTTTTCGCATATCAAATAGGCACGTGCTGTTTGTCATGGCTTGTGGTCTCTCTCTGGTCCAAGGAGCAGGACACAGAGAGAGAGAGAGAGAGAGAGAGAGAAGCTATGTGGGCCATACGTGATACGTGGGGCCCACCTGGCTTGTGTGTGTGTGTGTCTCTCTCTCTCTCTCTGAGAGAAGCACATGTTTCTGGGGTGATAGAGAAGCAGAGAACTGAGCCTTGTTTCATGTGTGATATTAAGCTTAGCAAACTTTATGTTCTCAGATGGCAGGATTTGGCCTCTATAGAAGATATAAATCTCAATTCTTGAAGATGCTTAAGGTAATCTCTGATAACTTCTTGGTTGATTTGAAACAAAAAGAACCAGAGTTGACCAGGATTATTGTCGAGATACAATCTTATATTGAAGATAAAAAGTACCTTAAAGAGCCAGAAGGAAGGAGCTTGCAATCTAATTTGTTATCAAGTATAGTGAGAGCTTAGATCCGGAAAAAGCATATGGGTAATTAAGTTACTTGTTTGATCCCATAAAGCAAGTCATTGATTAAAGTGACGCTATGTTTTAAGATGGGATCTGTAACCAAAGAGGGAAGCCTAAGATGAGTTTGATTATTATGTAGCGATACCATTTCTAATTTCATTCTGATCAGTGATCATGCTAAAGTATAGATATGATTTACATTCGATCGAAGTCAAGAATGAATTATCAAATATTATGATATACTCGAAATATTAAATCTAGGGTAATTATTTTTAAACAAATTGATGAACTTCAATATTTACATATTTAGAACTTCAGTTGTTTTGAAATAGTTGAGATGTCATTGTAATTTATTGACTGGAAAGCATGAACAATATGACTTCTCGTACGTGAAGAAGTGAAATATGAATTTATTTATGAAAATTCATGTAAACGTTAGTTATTATTTTAACAATTAAAGAGAAGGAATATAACCAGTGCGATTAAATTAAGCGGAAAAGGACTTGATATCCTTTAAGCAAAATTGTGGGTGTTTTTTTTTTTTTTTTTAACGCAAAAATTGTGTATCTAAGATTTATATGTTACTAGGACTAGACATGAGATAATTTAAATTAAAAACAAGAAAAGAGATATATAACCCTTCAACGTTGAATTTATGTCGACAATGCCATGTCTGCACCTTTTAAAGAGAACTATGATATGCTCTTTGAACGGGACCGATTGATTGCTCTTTGACAAGAAGTCATCCTTATTAATCTCATCAAAGCATTTTACGATTCTTTATTTTGCATATTTTGCGGCATTCCAGTGTATGGTTTTTCTATTTTGGGAGGGGCATAATTCAAAACATGGAATGCTAAAATAGGTATTTTCTTTAGCTCTTGAATTTGATTATCGCCACGTGAAAAAGTTAGGATTAGATAGTTGACCTTCTCATTTGGTCTTTAATAAATAAAATCACAGTCATGGAAAATGGAATTTCTTGCACAAAGTTCCAATATACACCAAAGAGTGGCTTAGGAAGGTTAAGGGCTTGTATAGTTTTTGATCTCATTTTTCATTTGGGATAATCGCATTAAGGGCTTTCAAAACATAGGAAATTGCACTTTAGGCCCGATTGATTCTAATAATGTACTGTATGCTCAAGAGCTTTTGTTGCAATTTTTGTTGGGAGTAAAAGTATAATTTTGCCACTCTCAAAACAAACCAAGCATGATCTGATCTTCTTCCTCCTCTTCTCTTACTCTATCTTCCTTTTTGACTTTCTCTTCCTCCTGATAACATTGCATTATAGTTAGAGCTGAGCATGGAGGCCCTATTTAAATAAGGGTTCGAACTTTAAAAATTATTTTTTTAAGTAACGGGGTTTGAGGGTCTGACCTCGATAAGCCCTGTAAAAAAGGGCTCGAGTTCGAGTGGCCTTTCATGCCTTGTTATATTTTTTTTAGTGGAGCACCAAACACACACTTGAACTTTGAAGTCACAAACCTATCGCTTAAAGCCCTCCTTAATCTTGATTCCTGAACCGTGCATAAACCTTAATTACTCTTCACCTTGAACCTGCAATCGCTTCTCCCTCAACTTCACACCCTCGCCCTTGCCCTCACCCCTTTGCCTTACTTATGCTTGTTGTTCTTGTGATATATCCAAATATTTTGTCTTGTGATATATGTGAGTGTGTATATTTAATAATAACACAATTTTGTTAATATTTATTATAAGTGAGGAAGAAATGGTGAAGAGTATATTGATATTGAAGCTCCTTCGCCTTCAACAAGTGAACCTACTTTTAAAGGTTTTAATGTTTTATTTGTAGATGATGAGGATGACGAGGATTTGGGTTTTAATTGATGAATGGTATAATTAATTTAAATTTTTGAATGTGTGTTATTTAATTTCTAAGAGATTATGAGGATTTTCATTTTTTAATTTTAAAATATTTTAATTAATTTATAGTGGTTAATTTTATTTTAATTTTTTAGAACAAAGCTTAAGGGTCCGACCTTAGGCCCTTCAAATAAGGGCCAAGTCTTAAAATGGAATTAAAAATGGAGAACCAGGTTATGGGCTTGGCCTTACCATTTTTTCAACTCTACTCATGCCCTCGCCCTCACCCCTTTACCTCATGCCTCTTGTTCTTATGATATATCTAAATATTTTATCTTATGATATATGTGAGCGTGTATATTTATAATGATATACTTTTGTTATTATTTATTGTAGGTGAGGAAGAAGTGGTTGAAGAGTATATTGACATCGAAGCTTCTCCACCTTTAACAAGTAGATCTACTTTTAAGGGTTCTAATGTTTTATTTATAGATGATGAAGATGAAGAGAATTTGAGTTTTGATTGATGAATGTTATAATTAATTTAGATTTCTAAATGTGTGTTATTTAATTTCTAAACGATTATAAGGATTTTGATTTTTTTTAATTTTAGAATATTTTAATTAATTTATACTGGTTAATGTTATTTTAATTTTTCTAATTTTTTAGAATAGGGCTTGAGGGCCAACCTTTGAGTCTTTCAAATAAGGATTAGGCCTAAAAAATGATGTTAAAAATGAAGAACCGTATTTAAGGGTTCAGACCCTTCAGGGTCGAGCCCTAAGGACTAAGCCCATAAGGCCAAACTTGCTCGTTTTTTCAACTCTAATATAGTTTCACAACTCTTCCATTCCCTCCTCAATCTTCTCGATCTATCCATCCTTCTTGTGTTGAGCCAACATATAAGAGCTAGGTTTTGCACATCTTGATTTCACTAGCTTTATTGTTGTCCCAAAGTAACTTTTGTAGATCACTCTTCCTAGATCAATAGCCATTATTTTGTCAAACCTCTAGAACTTAAGTTTTCTTGTAAGTTTTACTTTGAATTTATTCATCTTTCATTTATATACATGTTTCTAAGATTTTTAGGAACTGCTATAGAAGTTACAAAAACCAAAACTTGCCATAATTGAATTGTGAAAATTTGAGTTTGGAAATTTTGGACCTAGACTTTGAATTTTGAATTGTTGAACCTGTGCTTGTAAATACTTAGATGTTAAGTTGTAAATTTGTGAATTTTGGCAGCACGTAAACTCTGAACCTTTGCTTGTCAAGACATGGACTTTTATCTGTACATATTTGAACCTCTATTTGGAAATATTAAGACTTTTATTTGTACATTTATGAGCTTTGGTTATTTCTGAACTTCAACTTCTGATCTTCTGATAGTTAAAAATTGGATTAGGTGTTGTGAAAATATGAACATTATCTTATTAATATTGGATATTTAGACGTAAATTCAATTGTAAATTATCCAAATATGATGTATATATTTTTGAAAATTCAATGAAAACATATTGTTAACAATATAAGGATCTTGTGTAGATATTCAGGTTTGCCATATAGAAGGATCTTGTGTTGTTAATAGATGAAACTTGTCATATTATTTGTAAATGTTCAATTTAACCACGTGGATCATGTGAAATATATGAACATTGTATTATTAATAAATGAATCTTCTCATGTTATGTACGGACTTTCTATTGTTCATAAACCTGAGAAACTTTTACAAATGTTCAACTTAATCACATGGACCATGTGAAATAGATGAACATTGTCATGTTAATAAATAGATATTTTCATATTATATAAGGACTTTCTATTGTTCATAAACTTAAGAAACTTTTACAACAATTGTAAAAACCAAAGCTTGTCATTGTGAATATTTGAATTCAAAAATTCTGGATCTAGACTATAAATGGTGAATTGCTAAACCTATGCTTGTGAATATTTGGACGTTAATTTGCAAATTTGTAAACTTTGGCAGGCAGCACATCTACTCTGAACGTTTGCTTGTCAAGATGTGGACTTTCACCTGTATATATTTGAACTTGTATTTGTAAATATTAAAACTTTTACTTGTACATTTATGAACTTTGCTTATTTGTACAGTAGTATAAAATAGTTTGGGTATGACATTTTGTACTTATTAGAAGAGCATCCCAACAAAGTCAAAGCTCAAAGTGCCCTTGCACTTACAGTAGGAACCAAAGAAAAATGAAAATAATAGAGAGAATAGCTTCTACATCTCACTATGTAATAGTATTCGTTGAAGCTTCAACTTCTAATCTTCTAATAGTTAAAGATTGGATTATATGTTGTTAAAACATGAATATTATCTTGTTAATATTGGATATTTAATTGTAAATTTAGTTGTAAATTATCCAAATATTATGTATGTATTATTGAAAATTCAATGAAAATTTATATGTTGTAAATTATTTTGTTAATAGAAGTACCTTGTGCAGATGTTCAAATGTAACATATGAAAGAACCTTGTATTGTTAATAGTTGAAACTTGTCATGTTATTTGTAAATGTTCAATTTAACCACACTAACCATGTGAAATATATGAACATTGTATTATTAATAAATGCACATTTTCATGTTATATATGGACTTTCTATTTTTCATAAACCTGGGAAACTTTTACGAATATTCAACTTAACCATACAAACCATGTCAAATAGAAGGACATTATACTGTTAATAAATAGACATTTTCATATTATATATAGACTTTTTGTTCATAAATTTGGAAAACATGTACAAATGATAATTGCAAATAATTTCATTTACACTACGACAAGTGTTATCCAAACATACACTACCATATATGCTGTACATATATTTACAAAAAAAAAAAAACTTAAAATAGCACATGCATAATCCTAGAGGAACATCAATTACATTTTGATGCTTCATTCTATTATTTTTATTTTCCTTTGGTTCCTGCTGTGAGTACAAGGGCACTTTGAGCACTAACATTATTGGGATGCTCTACCAGATAGTTTAAAATGTTACACATGAACCATTTTATACTCCTACACAAATAAGCTAAGTTCATAAATGTGCAAGTAAATGTCTTAATATTCACAAATACATATTCAAATATGTATGGGTAAAAGTCCATATCTTAACAAGAAAAGGTTCAGAGTTGAGTGCCGTCAAAGTTCACAAATTTACAACTTAACATCCAAATATTCACAAACATAGTTTGGCAATTCACAATTCAAAGTCCAGACCTAGAATTTCCAAATTTAGATATTCATAACTTAGTGATGGCAAGCTCTGGTTTTTACAACTTATATAAAAGTTTCTTAAGTTTATAAATAACAAAAAGTCCTTATATAATATGAAAATATTCATTTATTAACAACATAATAGCCATCTATTTTATAAGATTTATGTGCTTAAGTTGAACATTTGTAAAAGTTCTCAGGTTTATGAACAAT